TACACATACATACACACACACATACATACATACATACACATATATATTATACACACACACTTGCATATATATACACCACACACATACAAACATACATACTTATGGTATTTGTGAAGCGGTTTATAAAAACACAAGTTTTCAGGAAAAAAATGTAGCAAAACGAGTTTTTAGTGCAAACAAACACACACAATAGAATACCCTTTTTTGGTTAAAATATAAAAGATGAGGTTGCATCGAGTCAATAGATACAAAACATTCCAGGTCTTGCGAGCTCCCGCAATATTGCCAAAAACTACGGTGCCCAAAAATCACCATAGGTGACGATTTAAAAAGCCATTTACAGCTCATCAGTTTAGAGTTAAGCAGGAGCTCTTGTGCTACAATTATTCTCCTCACTCTGACGTGTGTGGCGATATGTCACACGTGCAATGCGACCACAGTTTACATATGCGTGGACAGCCTGGCTTTGCGATTGCGCAGGTGTGCAGGGCAATTGGTGTTACGGCAATAAACCCCTATTTGATAGCATTGGGCAGGTGACAGGTACTCTTTATGGAGACATTAGGGGTCTAAGAGACCTCCAATGTCTCCCCTGTCCTTCACACCACATAACCGAGCACAGTTCGGCTTGGTCAGACGTGTCTCCTGGCTGTACTGGCCAGGAAATGATGCACCTGAAACTGGAGGGGACCTCAAGTCACTTCCAAAAAGCTGAACTGGTTAAAGCATTCTGTACATTTCAATAAACAAGCTCCTTGTTGTGAAGGTCAGTTATAGACTGGGGCAGTGGCCCATTTTAAACGCGCTCCTTCTGTGAAGGTCAGTTATAGACTGGGGCAGTGGCCATTTTCTGTACATTTCAATAAACGTGCTCCTTGTTGTGAAGGTCAGTTATAGACTGGGGCAGTGGCCATTTTTTGTACATTTCAATAAACGTGCTCCTTGTTGTGAAGGTCAGTTATAGACTGGGGCAGTGGCCATTTTTGGTACATTTCAATAAACGTGCTCCTTGTTGTGAAGGTCAGTTATAGACTGGGGCAGTGGCCATTTTTGGTACATTTCAATAAACAGCAAACACGGCCTGTCCCATAAAGTGAATTTAAGTATACAGACTCTCTTTGGAGGACAGATCAGAACAGCGGGGCGCAATCTGAGTGTAGTATATGAACGCATTTATTATGGTGAAGTGGCAACTCACATGGTGACAAACAGGCTCATCACATAGTAAGGGCTTCTGGTGGACAGTCTCACAACAACAGGAAACCAGAGACCAGGATAGAAACACTTTTCTCCATAATACGTTAATATACTACACTCAGACAGCGCCCTGTTCTCTTTATCTGTTCACCTGGAGCTACTTCGGTCTCTTCAGAGGTGCTGCATCTGGTGCATGAGATCAGAGGGAAGATACCCTGAATGCTCCAATTGGACTCAATGAACGTTTTGCTGTTCTGCATTGACATTTTTTTTACACACGACAGTTATTGCACCATATACCCCATTCTCTTCTTGGAGGATTCGAATCTGAAATGTATTAAATTATGGATGACATTCCTTTCAGTAGTTCTCATTAACAGATTCTTCTAAAATAAGTAACTAATGATATATAGATTGTATAGCGAGCGCTACCTAGATGTACCGTATTCAAATAAAATGCAAAAGCCGCTAGAACACCAAAAAGGTAACCAACAGACCTTTCCAAAAGACTAGAGAGATAAAAAGGTGCAGCGCTAAAGATTATAGTGCAAATAACCACTGAAATGTTATGAGCAATATCCCAAACTGTTATGAGAGGCACAAAGTGCAAATTAATTGATAATCACAATAAAGTAAACGTCCAGATCCCAAGGTATATGTCATATGAATCTTGCAGGATCCTGTCTGTGGTGATAGTATACGATCCAGAGGTGAAGACTGTTAAATAAATAGAATGCGCACTCACCAGAAGTGCGTATTAAATATGCATGAAAGAAGATTCCTTTCTTATGAGACCCCTAGGTCATCAGTATTCTGGTCAGGCCGCACTCCACATCGTCCTCTGCTTCCTCGTAATGATGGGATTCCAAGATTCATCAAGCAATCACAGACTTCTGGTGTCCCCCTTTAAAGCAGGCACTGCAGAAGGTGGTGCTCCCGAAGAGAGCCCAATAAGGGACGCCACATAGTGTAATATTGCTTTGATGAACTTTAATTCAAAGTGATATAAAACAAGAAACAATACTGACCAAAAAGATTTTAGAATGGCCACCAGCGGTGGCTAGATGTCCAGATGCTGTAGCCCCCCTAGGGGGGGCTCGTATACTATCACCACAGATAGGATCCTGCAAGATTCATATGACATATACCTTGTGATCTGGACGTTTACTTTATTGTGATTATCAATTAATTTGCACTTTGTGCCTCTCATAACAGTTTGGGATATTGCTCATAACATTTCAGTGGGTATTTGCACTATAATCTTTAGCACTGCACCTTTTTCTCTCTCAAGTAACCAATGATGTCACATTTAATATTAGACCACCACACTAGCTCCACCAGCCATAACGGTTGGCATCTAGCAAACATGGGTACAACCAGGGGCGGACTGACCATTCGGGCACTAGGGCACTGTCCGAGGGCCCCATGAGATGCCCCTAGTACCTTTCATAGGCTTTTTTTTTTGGGTGTGGTTTTGAGTGGGTGAGGACACAAGGGCCCCATGATCCCCTATTGCCCGGGGGCCCCATGAGTTGTCAGTCCGCCCCTGGGTAGAACAATGTGAGCCTGGATCCGTGTTCAAATGTAAAAAGAAAACCTCCAGAGTTCTGACCCCTGAACACTAGCGCACAATGGTGGGTAGGTAACCCCCACCATCCGAAGTACTCACCTGCAGGCATGGTTCTGGCAAAGACAAAGTTGGAAGCGCTGCAGCCCAGTGAGTCTGCCGCATGGTTGCAGCTATGGATATCAATGCGGTAGAGAGTGAACGGTAGCAGGTTGGAAATAACCGTCCTCTCATGTTTGTAGTCCACTTTTGCTTCGTAGAACGGATACTCTTTTTCCTTCGGTTCGGAGTCGGACACGTTAGAGAAGTCTTGTGCGGTGCTGTTCTTGGTTTCTCCAGGAAGCGTTGTATTTGCGACACCGAATACATCACGTCGTCTACGATCCGGTCTACCAAAGGAAAACAGAATTAGAAGATGTAGTAGCATTCAGTTATGTTCAACTAGACTTACACCCTGGTCACAATGGATGCGAAGTGGCATGCGATTTGCATGTCATGCGACTTGCAAATCGCACGCCAAGTCACACCTTATTGTCCGCAATTATAACGGTCATTTCTAAAGCAGTCCATGCACTACTCTTGTTTCGATTTGCATAGACGTCTGTGTCAGAGGTCTTGCAAATCGCGCCTGAAATAGGCATGTCCCCCGACTTTGAAATCGTGCGACTTCACTGTACGTCGCACGATTTCAAAGTCTGGCTTGAGATAACCGGGGTGTTAATGTGTAATGTTGGAAGACATTTCACCACTCATCCAAGCACCTTTTGCATTTCTAATAAGCAGGATTTTTTCCCTCTGAGAGTAGGTGAAGGAACTCCCCCTTCTGAGCCACCCATTGTCTTCGCCCCCTATCAGGGGAGGACTGACCATTTGCAATCTTGGGCACTGCCTGGGGGTCCGGGGTCAGTAGGGGACCTCATGAGATGCCCCTGGTACCTTTTTCATAGGCTTTTTTTGTGTTTGGGCAAGGACACAGGGGCCCCATGATCCCCTATTGCCCGGGGGCCCCATGAGTTGTCAGTCCACCCCTGCCCCCTATCCATCTCCAAGCACTGTCCCTTGGTTTCACTCCCTACTTACCTCCACCTAGCCTAGTATTTTGTGGTGCTAAGTAATTTGCATGGAATTTGTTAATTAAAGCAGTAAAATAGATCACATGCAGCCAGCAACAACAGACCCCCCCCCCCAGAAACCATAGGCCCACTTCCTGAGCAACAATAGACCCCCCAGCAACAAAATACCATCCCATCAATAACAGATCCCCGGTAGCAAGAACAGATCTCCCAGCAGCTAAGATCAATAGACCCTCCAGAAGCCAGCAATAGACTTCTCCCTCAACAGTAGATCTCTGAGAAACAACTGACCCCCCAAGCAACATAAAATCCACACAGCAACAGACCCCCAGCAGCAACAATAGATATCTGCATTAAACAATAGATCCCCTCTAGCAATAATAGACCCCCCAGCATCCAGCATCAATAGACCCTCCAGCAGCCAGCAATAGACCTCTCCCTCAACAGTAGATTCCCTTCAGCAACATAAGACTCTCCCTTAGCAACAACAGCCCCCAGCAACAAAATACCACCCGACGCAAAAATAGATCCCATCCAGCAATAATAGATCTCCCAGCTACCAGTATGAATAGACCCTCCAGCAGCCAGCAATAGACCTCTCCCTCACCAGTAGCTCCCTCGCAGCAACAACTGAACCCCAGGAACATAAGACCCTTATAGCAATAACAGATCACCCACAGCAACAATAGACCCCCAACTAAATCCCTCCAACAATAACAGATCGCCCAGCAGCCAGCAATAGACCTCTTCCTCAACAAAATAAAACACACCCTAGCAACCATAGATCCCAGCACCAACAATAAACCTCCATGCAAAAACAGATCCCCTCCAGTGATCATAGATCCCCCAGCAGCTAGCATCAATAAACCCTCCAGAAAGTCAGCAATAGACATCTCCCTCAACAGTAGATCCTTAGCAACAATAGACTCCTACGCAAAAATAGATCCCCTGCAATGATAATAGATCCCCTACAGCAGCTAGCATAAATAGACCCCCCCTGCATCCCTTGCCTTTGCATATATTTAGTGCTGGAGGGGCCAAAACTGCTTCCCCCCCCCCCCCCCCCGTGTGCCCACTGGAGGAAAAAAAGTCCTGCTAATGAGTTTCAATAACATACCCCAGCATTTATAGTCACAAAGGTAGTTCAGTCATCTTAATCCAATGACCAAGTGTGATGTATGTGAAAACAGGTGTTGATTTTCTCCAAGAATATGAAGGGAGGCTTGAAAAATTGTGAAACTGTCCTGATTTCCTTCCATAGTCCAAGCACCATGGTGCCATGAAGTCTAGGTCATTTGCTTGAAGTGACATGACTGAAGGTGTGAAATGTTGCCAGGGTAAAGCTGTCAAAACAGCATTGTATGTTAGTGATAGATGTTGCCCATCACCCCTGTTGAAGGATGGCTTGTCCATCTACATAGATGGCCTCTTTCACACCTCGAGAACCACTTGTGCTCTCTGTACAAAGTGTGCACCTCCCTGTCCTCAAAAGGAATGTCTCATCTCCTCAGCAAGTAGGAAACCGCTGAGCCCTAACCCTCCTATGGTGGGCCATGCATTCATTGAATGGACGTTTTGTCTCACCAATGTCTAGGTCTTTGCATTCCTCAATACACGGGACTGCTTGTATCAGGTTGCTTGTTTTTGTCTTTAAGATGTACGAACTTCTACCCAAGTGTGTTGATGGGCCAAGAAGAAATGTTCATGAAAAGTTTCTTCTGACACTTCAGCCTATAAATATCGGGGTGTGTTGTGGACAATCCTTTCCTTAACTTTATTATGCCTGTACACCACAAGATCCACCCATAGTAGCTGAACCTTCAAGTATCAGACAAGCATGCTCATCCCTTGCTGTCCATTCCCACAGTACCTGAACCTCCAAGTATCAGACAAGCACGCTCATCCCTTGCTGTCCATTCCCACAGTACCTGAACCTCCTAGTATCAGACAAGCATGCTCAACCCTTCCTGTCCATACCTCCCACAGTACCTGAACCTCCCCAAGTATTAGTGCAGAGCAGTGTGAACAGCAAGCTTTGTTGAACAGCCTTCAGATCCAGTTTGTAAATGCTGAACACAGACCCTAATGGGAGTGCTGATTGCCACTTTAAACAAGCTGCTAGCAGGCTTCAGCACTACCTGAAGCTTGTTTAAAGCCCACTGCAGCCTGTGACAATAAGCACTCTCATGAAGATTTGTGTACATTATTTCCAAACAGGAGATGAAGGGTACTTTAAAGGCTTAATGAAAGCATCTTGAGGCTTGCCAAAAGCTTTGCAAAAAGCTTGGTGAAAGTTTCATAGCAGCTTTCTTCACACTGCACGCTGAAGCCTATGTGAAACAGGCCTTAGTTTCAGTCTACCAAGGTAGGACAAAAAGAAAATGCATGCTATTGTTCCCTGGCTCCACTCGAAAAAAGGAACTTTAACCTGGGGAGGGAATCCAGTTGGGGATCAGTAAGTACAAGCAGGCAACTAGTGAGTATCCAGCTTTGTGGGTGAATTGTGTAAGATGTAGTGAAGGACAAACTGAGTCCTTATTCAGAGGAAGTTTTGTATTTGAGCCAGAAGAACCATGTACACCCAATTGATCGTCCCAACCCAAGGAGAAGTCGTGAGGTCCACCGTTGATCGTCCCAACCCAAGGAGAAGTCGTGAGGTCCACCGTTGATCGTCCCAACCTTAGGAAAAGTCGTGAGGTTCACCGTTGATCATCCCAACCTTAGGAGAAGTTGTGAGGTCCACCATTGTCATTATATCATTAATTCTCACCAGGGATTTTTTTGCAGTTTCGGCACCTCCAGCTCAGAATGTATGTGTGCTGGAGGGTCTACCTATTGGGAGATCAACTGTCACCGTGGGAGATTTTTTTTGTTGCGGAGGGTCTATTGCTGCTGGTAAGGGATCTACTGTTGTGGGAGGGGGTGAATCTATTGTTGCTGAAGGAGGGTATTATGTTGTGGAGGGTCTATTTTTGTGGGGGGTTTCTATTGTTGGAGGCTGTTGGGGGATCAGTTGTCATTGTGGGAGATGTTTAGCTGTGGGGGTCTATTGTTGCTAGAGGGAGTCTTATGTTGCTTTGAGGGGGGTCTATTGTTGCTGGAGAGGATCTACGGTTGAGAGAGGGGTCAGTTATAGCTGGCTTCTGGAGGGTGTATAGCTGCTGGGATGGATCTATTGTTGCTGGGGGGGTATTTTGTTTTGGGGGGGGTGATTCTATTGTTGTTGGCTGCAGGAGATCTGTTTATTACTGATTTTTTTGTCATTAATTCCATACCAATTACCTAGCACCACAAAATTATACTTGGTTCAGTTTTCTCTAAATGGGGTGACACTGGGGGGTAGGTAGGGGGTGGAACCAAGCACCAGTGCTAGGAGATGGATAGGAGGAAGAGATAAAGGGCGACTTGAAAGGGGGGGGGGGGTGTAGTACCCGCACCTATTTTCTGTGAAAAATAGCCCTGATTCTTGATAATCACTATACAACTATTGGAAAGGAGTTCTTCTCTCGAGGCGGGATGCATTCCTTGGAAGGAGTGAGTAGACCAGTGGCCTCCAAACTTTGGCCCATAGGCCAGAAGCGGCCCTTTGGAACCATTCCTTCCACTGACACGTTGCCCTATTCCTCCCACTAATACCAACGATGAGGTACCATTCCTCCTACTTATCACAGGGGTGGTATGTATTTTTTTTAATTCACTCTTTTACTTCCACTGACCACCAAGACTGAGGCATGATCTACTTCCACTGGCCACAGTTTGGTCCCCTTAAAGTCTGGCCTTTTTTTAGAAAGTCTGGAGACCTCTGGAGTAGATGGACAAGAAGAGATTTTCTGTAGGCCTTCCTGGATAAAGGGGTAAGTCAGAACAGAAGAGCAAGGTTATCCTAGAGAGAGGATCACCATTTTTGAAACAGCTAACCTCTCGCCAAGCAATCCCAGAGGAGACCACGACCAACTTTCCTTGTGTTACCTCCTATGGAAGCTAGCCAAAGAAATAAGCTCTTTACTTCCACTGACCACCAAGACTGAGGCATGATCTACTTCCACTGGCCACAGTTTGGCCCCCTTAAAGTCTGGCCTTTTGTTTAGAAAGTCTGGAGACCTCTGGAAAGGATGGAGAACAAGAAATTTTCTGTAGGCCTTCCTAGATAAAGGGGTAAGTCGGAACAGTAGAGCTAGGTCATCCTACAGAAAGGATCGCCATTTTTCAAGCAGCTAACCTCTCACCAAGCAATCCCAGAGGAGACCACAACCAACTTTCCTTGTGTTACCTCCTATGGAAGCTAACAAAAGAAATAAGCTGCTCATTAGAGAACATCATCTTTCCATTTGTAGAGATGCGGGCACTTTTACGCACACAGCTGTAAATGTTATTAGAAGCTCTTTCACATGATGCAATTGTTTTCATGGACAACGTACCTTTAAGGCAGCTAAAAAGCTGTGCAAACACCAGAAATCAGTCCCTCTGTGTGTTTGCAAAGAAACAAAGAGCCCCTCCTCAGCTTAATAAGGGCAAATGAGGATCACCTGTCTACCTGCATTACTTCCTCTTCCCCGTAAAAACAATATTCGCCAGAGTCTCCAGACAAGCTTGGGCAGGATGAAGTCATAAGCCATCCAAAACACTTACATTCATCACCACATAGTGTGTATCCTACAGACTCCTCAGCCCCGGCTGAAGATAAATAAGGGGTGGAATGGCTCTCAGAAAGTAGCTGAGAAATGTGATCCACTATTAACGGGAACCGCGATGACTGACGAGTTCACTTTTGTCTCTTCTTTAGAAGTTTCACAAACACTCGGCATTCAGCTGCCATTCACATGGGATATTTTAAGGGCAAAATCGAAATTCTTGCTGGTGTTGTGTTCAAAGCCTTCGGTGATGGAAACCGATGCTGGGAAAGCCTCAATTCCTGGAAAAGCATCTGCTTAGTGTGTGAGCCTAGAACGTTTTCGCCACTAAAACTACTGGAATTTCTGTAGCAATGACTATCGCATCAGCAAATATTGCAAAAAAAAAAAAAAAAAAATGAACAAAAAAAAAGATGATTTTTTAAAATATATATTACACTAGACATTTAACCCCTTCCTGCCCAGCCCCGACATCTGTTCAATAGGGTCTGTATACCCAGGGCATCATCTGACCTCTGATTGGCTGTCAGTGGTAACGTGATCAAAAGCCGGTCCCACCGGCTGCTGATCGTTAATGGAGATTGAGATCCATCTATGCTGAGAGCACTCAGTGAGCCTACTCCCAGCACAGAAACATTGGCTGCCCGGTGGCACATATGTGCGGCGTGTGGGTGTTAAAGTGGCTCCTGTCTAAATTGTCCCTAGTATGCGTATGTATGAATGTAAGTTAGGGATCTTAGATTATACGCCCTCTGAGGGTTAGGGACTGAGTGAATGTACAAATATATATATATATATATATATATATATATATATATATATATATATATATATATATATATATGTGTGTGTGTAACGCGCTGCGTAAAATTGACGGCGCTATATAAGTTCCTGAAATAAAAAAATAAATAAGTGCTTGTAAACTATAGACATGAAATATAAACAAAGCATATCCCTCTATAGTGTGTACTTGTCTCAATCCAGAGCACTAAGTGTAATTTCTGTCTGCTGCTGCTTCGTTCATCTGTATGAGTCACCTTCCTGACACCAAGAGAAAAATGGTGACAGGGGAGGGACCTCCAGCAGAATTCTCCTAATTCAGAGCACTATGGGAGTTGAAGCCGGAAAGTGCACAATCTGGTGCATAGCTGCAATTAGGTTTTATTGTCAAAGCTTAATTCAACAAGCTGAAGTTAGAAGCCGAATGGCTACCATGCACAGCTGCACCAGATTCTGAGTGCTCCAGTCTAATCTCCCCCTAGGGCTAGGTTCACATCTGTGCGGGTGGTGCCGCTGTGGATACGCACAAAAAAATCCGTGCAGCCCGCACCACCCGCACAGAAGAATGCGGACCTGCGAGCGGGTGCCATTAATTCTAATGGCACGCCGCCCGCACTGGAAATCGCAAACCGTACTGGAAACCGCAAACCGTACTGGGAACCGAGGTTCCCGTGTGGGCTGCCTTTCAGAAGTGCAAGGCCTTCTTCCCTGCGTGTCCCGAGGCACGGGAGTCCATTCAAATGAATGGGCTCTCATGCCCAACGCAGACTGCAGGAACGTAGATATGTGAACCAGGGGTAAGTGTCATTTCTGTCTGCTGCCTCATTCCTCAGCTATCTGCATGAGTCACTTCTGACAGGTTTTCCTGACACCAAAGAAAAAAAGGTGACAGGGGAGGGCACAGTCTGATTGAGAGCCTTAGAGCTGTTCCTGTGTATTGTGTCATGGGGTGTGGCACATCCCTCCAATCAGCTCTCAGAGCTCTCCTCACTATACTCTGCAGAGTGTAATTTCATCTCTCCAACCCCTGCTTTCCAAACTCTCAGACAAGCTTTATAAAAGCGAACATTTTCAACAGATGTAGTGAAGAGAAGACTGCAGATAAACAAGTACAAGCAGGGGCGGACTGACAATTCATGGGGCCCCCAGGCAATAGGGGATCATGGGGCCCCTGTGCCCTTGCCCAAAACTCAAAAAAGCCTATGAAAAAGGTACCAGGGGCATCTCATGGGGCCCCTACTGACCCCGGGCCCTCGGGCAGTGCCAGCGTTTCCAAATGGTCAGTCCGCCCCTGAGTACAACTTATGTAGGATTTGTTTCAATTGTGCATCACCGGAGGGCAGCCACTTCACTGGGTATATGGAAGGTTTTACCACTTTAAGCTACGCAGTTTGCTTCTTCAAGCCAGGGGTGCCGCTTCAGTTGGCCACATAAAGCAGGGAAGAGCTACAAAAAGTCAGGAGGCATTGACGGGCAGAAACATATGCAACACAGACTGCACCCCCTCTTATCCTGGGGACCACCTACATCGCTGTAATGAAGCACAGACAGTCTTTCATGCATCGTGTGATTGCCTGCCACCTTTTGCGTGGAAGGGGTTAACACAGAAAACAGCAGGTAAACATGATGTCAAACAGAACACAAGAAATTAGGACTTTCCATTGTGATTCGACCAACCCCTTGGATAGACTTTTCCTCTCCTTGGGCTGCCTGTACTTGTCAGGTAGGATTAAACAAAATCCCGCTTCACATTCCTCCTGCAGCTACATCTTGCTTTTTTTTTTTTTTTTCCCTTCTCTGAAACTTTTTTTTCTTGTCTACCTAGGCTGGCCTTTACACAAATAGGTACAGAAGCTCAGGAAGACGTTTTTAACCATTTTTAGTTTAGGCATGGTGAAAGTCAATAAATACAATCAAAACCGCGCAAGGGAGCAAATTAGACTGTGTTCAAAGCAAAAGAGGATATCCTCTCCAAGGCTAGGTGAACACCTATCACCTATGCAGGTTGTGTTTGACCCATTTCCGCATTGCGTTTTGCACCTGTGTTTTTTTATGCGCTTTTGCAGGGTGTTTTATTTTTTATTTTAAACCACCTCCTATCCAGTCGTTGTATATAAACGGCCGGACGGCTGCAGTACAGGGTCGGGTGGCCGTTTATAAACGGCCTCCCCGCCCCCTGCTTGTGCACGCTCCCTGGGAGCACGCAGCACCGCGATCTGGTGCCCGCTGTGTCCCCTGGACACAGTGGAACACCGATCGTCAGACAGGACCTCTGTGCGAGGTCCTGATCATGTGATCACTGACTGGCCAATCAGTGATCACATGCAGAGTAGTAAGCAAGTCTTTAGGGAGGGTTCTCAGCTCAGACCATGCCTGAGCTAAGGGCAGATTGATTCCAGGACGTAAATGCTACACAAATCATTTGCCCTTACTTAAGGTGGCCACTGCCAGAAATACAAGGGGGTGTTTTTCAAAATAAATTCTTAGCAAAATAAAGCATGGAGTGACGTGGATAGATTAATAGGCGAGTTTGCTTTGAATATTAATTAAATAGTATTTTTGGTTTGTGGTGCTCAGATGCAACGCAGTTCTGTTTTCATCCCTAACCTTAACAAAAAAAAAAAAAAAAAATAATAATAAAATAAAAGCTGAAAAACATGGCAACAAATTATGAAACATGATATTTTTTTCTATCGGCTAATAAAAAAAAGCCAATGCTCAAAAACGCTTTAAAAAATACTGCGAAGAAATGTGTGACAAAAGCTCCCCCCCCCCAAAAAAACATCTAAAAAATTAGACAATCAGCTGTGAATGTAACCTTATAGGACTGTCGGATGCCCGTGTCCCATATCATGCTTTGGTTCCTTCAGTTGGCCCCTACAGGACACAGCAGTGATGAAGGGGTCAGTGTGGATGGAGCCACAGTGCTCAGAAGGGACACAGAAATTTGACACTCATGGAAGTGTCGGATAGAGGTTGCACAGGTAGGAGATGGGCCATGCCTTCATTCGCTCTCAGGAATGAAAAGGACAATGTCGCTCTCACCATAAAGGCACTTGTTAGACCCACATGCTGGGCTGCGCTGTGTTACCTGGGTACAAAGATGGAGTTGTGTAGAAAGTTCTCAAACATCTTCCTGTACTCCGCCTCATCTTTCTCTTTCTTCTTCTCCGCTTCAGTTTTGGGACAGGCACAGCACATTCCCTTCTCTCGCCCCCCTCCGGCATCCGTCTTGGTGGGCTCCTTCTCACCTTCTGCATCAATCGTCTCATTGGCATATTTTCGACTAGGCACTTTATCTGAAAAAGGCAAATACAATCCCATGAATGAACACCGGAAACACTCACAAACCTCTAGAAAACATATCCTCATACATATAATCCATACAGAAAAATCTAAACAAAGTAGCAACTAAGAGCTGAAGGAAAGAAAGGGGGAAGGAGGGGGGGGAGGGGGGAAGAGGAAGGATGGGGAAGAGCTGCAGGGAAGAGGGGGGAGATGGAGGGAAAGAGATGGAGGGGGAGGAAGATGGAGGGAAAGGGGGGGGGACGGGAAAGCGGGAGTTCGAGGGGGGGGAGGGAAAAGGGGGGGAGAGGGGGGGGAGGGAAAGGGGGGGAGGGAAAGGGGGGAGATGGGGGGGGGAGAAAGGGGGGAAAGGGGGGAGATGGGGGGAAGGAAAGGGGGGAGATGGGGGGGAAGGAAAGGGGGGAGATGGGGGGAAAGGGGGGAGATGGGGGGAAGGGAAAGGGGGGAGATGGGGGGAAGGAAAGGGGGGAGATGGGGGGAAGGAAAGGGGGGGGGGAGAGGGGGGGAAAGGGGACAGGGAAAGGGGGAAAAAGGGGGGGATTGGGGTGGCCTGAGGGGGGGAAGGGGGGGAGGGGGGAGGGGGAAAGGGGTTGGAAGGCGTGGGGGAGGTGGAGGGGGAAAAAGGTGGGGGTGTTTTTGGGGGTGGGGGGCGGGGGAAACCTCCCCGGTTCCCTTTGGTGGGAGGGGGAAAAGGTGGGGGAGGCGTGAGTGGGAGGAAGGGGGGTAAGCGGAGGAAAGGGCTTTTTGAAAGGGAGGGAAGTCCCCTTTCGGGAAAGGGAGGATCCGGGGGGGAAAAGGGTGGAAGGGGGGAAAGGGTGGATTCCCTGAGGGGGGGGGGAAGGTAGGGGGAGGGGTAGTGGAATTCGCTGGGGGGGGGGGGAAGCGGGGGGGGGGGGGAAGGGGGGGGGGAGTGGGGGGGGAAAGGGGGGAGGGGGGTGAAAGGGGGGGAAGGGGAGTTCAAGGCGGGCGGGGAGTAAGAGGTGGGAAGGGGGGGGGGGGGGGGAAAGGGGGGGGGGGAGGGGGGAAAGGGGGGGAAGGGGGGGGAATCCCTTTTTTGGGGGGAAAGCTGTAGGGGTGGAAGGGGGAAAGGGGGGGGAGGGGGGAAAGGGGGGGAAGGGGAAAAAGGGGGGAGGGGGGAAAGTTGGGTCCCGTGGGAAGGTGGGAAAGGGGTGGGGAAGAGTGGGGAAAGGGGGGGAAAGGGGTGGAAAGGTTGGGAAGGGGAAAGTCGAGGTGGGAGGGCGGTTCCCTGTTTTTTCCCCCCTTGGCTGGGGAGACGTCACAGTAATGGGGGAGAAGTGAGAAGGGGTTTCTTTTCCCTGGGGGGAAAGGGGGGAAGGGGGGAAAGGGGGGATGGGGGAAAGGGGGGTGGTGGGGGGAAAGGGGGGGGAGGGGGGGAATGGGGGGAAAGTGGGTGGGAGGAGGAAGCTATATTTTATCCCAGAAACAGGGATTTGCAGTCTTTCGCACATCCCTAACAGGCCCTTGCTATGTTAAATGGAAATGTGAAAAGGTCTAAACGTATCTGTATACCCCAACTCCCACTATCACGCCACCCCCGCCCCCCCTTCATAGTAATGGGAGTGGCATAACCTTTGGAGAGTAGTTGTGCTGGTAAAGATAACTGTCCTGAGGTTGTTGCGGCTGCCAGCGCACAATGTAATAGGAGAAGATTGCCGTTTTGGAAGAGATGGAGACTTCCACTTCACAATCAGCTGAGATGAAGAGTTGGAGGCAGAGATGACATCCAGGGGGATGGAGTTGGGGAAACTAAATGAAAAAATATGAAAATGTCAGACAATTACTTTTGTACAAGTACCCAATAAAACGTCATCTATTTGAAAGCAGTTTTTTTCTTCTGCTGGCTAAAACTTGCAGGCACATAATAGTACAAAATAAAATAGAGTGAAAAATCTGCGCTCGGGTGAATCTAGTGCAATTTATTAGCTGCTGACACTATGATGCCTAGGTACTCGGCAACAGAGATATACAGGTATATAACAAGTGCCGCATAATCCTATCATCAAGATCTTACCTCTGATGTCTTTCCCATCCAAGTACTAACCAGGCTCGACCCTGCTTAGCTTCCGAGATGAGATGTGTCCTGTATAGTATGGCCATAGGCCGCCCCGATGATGTCATTTGTGATAGAACAGGTAGGTAAGGGGACCCGGACACACGCTTCTGGAGCATGTGCGAAGGAGCAGCGGCCATCTTTGGGGGTAGAGCGTTGTATTATTCATAGGGATTATTTTTTCATGCATCTTTATTTTTATATCATTTTGAGTTTTGGGGTTTGTGAGCACTGCACTTTGTTATATAGCTAAGCACATATAGTAGTTAAAGTAGAACTATAGGCAAAAAATTTTTTTCCATTGTGGATAGAGTAAGGGAGTATTATAACCCTTGTCCTATTTTTTTTCTGTGTTTCACTGGAGAGATTTCCCTTCACTTCTGTCCCATAGCCAAAACAGGAAGCTGAGGGGAAATCCCTGCAAAATTTTGGGGGTCATCAGAAACAAGTGTCACCACTGGAAGTTCTCCCCTCTATTAGTTCTGTTTCTGGGGACAACCCAAAATGTTCTTTTAAATTTCACTTTTCAATGATAATGGTTAAACAGGGCAAATGGAGAGGGTGAATCTTCCCAATGGGAGGTACAGACAGCAAAACAAACAAAACTGACAGGGTTCCTCTCCACTTTATCCAAAACGTAAAAAAAAAAGATTAAGAAGGGTATAATGAGGGCATTGGAGATAGCTCTTGCTGCCAGATCAATCAAATTGCTGAGTAGGAGGAGACTAAGGTAAGGACCTTTCGTAAGAAAGATGACCAAAAACACGATGGTCACTCTGACTGAACTCCAGAGAATCCTGTGCGAATACTCCAAGTGGGCTCTTTCATGTGTTTTGCACTCGAGTAGAGGCTGCTGTGTAGCCACTCGGCCATGATTAAGCCCAGATCAGTGGAAGGGCTGAAAGTGATGGTTGTCC